TGTACAAATTGTTAGCAAAAGCGCTTGCAAATCGCATGATCCCAGTGATGGCTGACATAATTCATCCTTCTCAAACAAGATTTATAAATGGTCGACACATACAAGATAACATCCTTTTAATTAACAAAATGGTCAAAGTTGTGCGACAATCTAAGCAAATAGCCTATTCTAAAAAGTAGTGCTAATTTATTCATCTTTATAATGTCTCCAGTCATTACATTTATGTTAAGTTTAGTTGCTTGGGCAGTAATACCTTTTGATTATGATATGGTACTGTTATATTTAAATGTAGGTATACTTTACGTATTTGCTATTTCGTCTTTAGGTGTCTATGATATTATAAAAGCAGGTTGGTTTAGTAATTCCAAATATGCTTTTCTAGGAGCACTACGATCTGCTGCATAGTATTTCCTTTCGGTTTCAGAAAACACGGAATGGTGGCGGCTTCGCTCCTTTGTGGTAAAAAATCTCTAAACACACGCAGCCAGACACGATTTCAAAGGCGCGAAGCACTGCAAAAAGGTCAAAACACCCTACGAGGACATAGCATGTACAATTTTTTCGAAAAAGTTGTCACAATGATCTCTTTTCATAACTACCCGTCAAAATACACAAAAGTTCGAACCAACCAACCGGATTGGAATTTGTTTGCAGGCAGCAGATCCAAGATGAAGGGACACCTAAGGATCCCAAGTTCACAATTGGTTGGAATTCGGGATCGCCCGAAAGTGCAAACACTGGGGGCGACGGAGGGACCATAGTAGTGATTGATGTCAGGATCGTACAAGAAGTTCTTAGAATGATCTTAGAACCTATTTATGAACCCCGTTTTTTGACTTATTCACATGGCTTCAGACCGGGACGTAGTGCTCACACGACCCTTAATGTTATAATTGGTACCTTTCATGGTGCGCAATGATATATTGAAGGATCCCTGGAGGCCGAAGGCCCTGAAGCCGTAAATCATGGAACTCTGTATAAGATCATCCGGAGAACAATCCGAGATAAACAGATTCTCAAACTAATCCGCTCTGGACGACAAACTTTTTTTCATATGCCACACAGGGAGATGCAACCGTTGTCTTTATAGACTTCGAAAAAGCATATGATCATGTCGATTGGCGATTTTTAGACGCCTATTTGCAAAGGTTGAATTTCGGACCGAATATACGTAGATGGGTTAAAAATCTCCACACAAATGCTACCACAAGCATTCTTGTGAATGGGCTACTGTCGCCGGAAATCCATACTCAGAGGTCAGTTAGACAAGGAGACCCGTTGACCCTTTTCCTTTTCGTAACTGTGATGGAGGCCCTGGGTGCCAACCTTAGAGCTAATCATAATATTAAACGTCTAACTATCTCAGGTATACCGAAAGAGGCAATACCAATAGCCTCAATGTTTGCAGATGATCTGACAATCATAATGGAGGCCTCAGTGACAAATATGGATGAAATCAAAAATCTGTTGGATATATTTTCGGCACTCTCAGACATGGTGGTTAATTGGGGAAGTAAAACACAAGGATGGTGGATCCATTCAAATGGTGTCCGCCCACCTGAAGTCCCCAAGGTACAATGGTTGCCCCTGGAGGCCCCTCTGAGAGTATTGGGAGTATCTTTGTCGGCCTCTGGTAAACCTATATCCAATGATGAGTGGATTTCAAAGCCTGCGATACAAAAGATGAGTCAATGGAAGAATCTACACACCTCGTTTTTTGGCAGATCACTAGTCAGCCTCCAGCCTTCAACCCGTGACTTCGACACTTCGTCGAAAGTGAACAAGGTTGCGACTGCGTTGCACCCCTCCCACGTCCGCCCCGGCCTCGGATCGTCATCGTCCCGCCCCGTTGTCCACCGTTGAAGGTAAGTGACCCAAACTTTCTTCTTCTTCTTCTTACTATCATCTTCTTACTATCTTCTTCTCCTTCTTCTTCCATTTCTTCTTCTTCTTCTTCTTCTTCTTCTTCGTCTTCTTCTTCTTCTTCCGCTTCTTCTTCTTCTTCTTCTTCTTCTTCTTCTTCTTCTTCTTCTTGTGGCAGAGCCGAAGTTTCCCATTAAAATGTGCGCGCTGGGGTAACCAGCGGGCGCGTAGAAATCAGAGAGAGAGAGAGAGAGAGAGAGAGAGAGAGAGAGAGAGA